TCATTGTAATAATGTCTTACTTTAAACCACACCCTCATTTTAAACTTCGTCACGTGTGATGTAGTTGCAGGTCCTGGTCAGTGGGAGGCGCTGTGCAGTTACCTCAGTCTTCCCTCCAATCTTCTTCAAGTTTACAGTAGTCAACGTGTGGTGATGGAACCACTTGTACACAGGTAATGAACACATAGAAAACCATATGGAGTCACACGTGCCCCTGTGGTCCAACAGTGGTACTGCACTTACAATGGGTGGCTTTTTATTTACTTTTAGTATACGAAAAATGTTTGAACCAAATAAAAGTTAGCTGTGAATTGGAAAGAATGTATTAATCTGATAAAACACAACTTGTGCTATTTATACTGTCTTTATAGTTTGTGTGTCTTATGTCCTGCAGGTGGTGCTGTCATCCAGGTGTGAGACAGACACTACTGGGCGGTGGAGTCATCGTCAGGTTTCCAAGAGAGTCCAATAGACTTATCGAGCTTCCAGAAGATTACAGTGTCCTTATCAACCAGGCCTCCAGCTTCACGTCAGTCACACACACACACACACACACACACACCCTTCGAAGTGTTAACAAAGATAATAGCTGCAAAATACCACAACTATATCATACTTCCGTTGCTTTTTAAAACTGTTTTCCATAATATTACCTCAGACTGGAGAGAGCTGAACAAAATGTAAAGTCAGAGTTTTAACTATGAGTTGTGTTTGTGAGTGTGTTAATCTGTGCGATGTGAACTTCACGTGCGCAGGTGTCCTCGCTCAGGTGGAGACAAGTCTCGGGCTCCGACCTTGTGTCTGGTGTGTGGCGCCATCTTGTGTTCTCAGAGTTACTGCTGTCAGACAGAGGTGGATGGTGAAGATGTGGGTGCCTGTACTGCCCACACCTTCACCTGCGGCGCTGGTCTGGGACTTTTCCTCAGGTAACACATACACACATACACACAGACAGTGAAATTGGTCAATGTGATGTTTATATTTTTTGTGTGATTAAAATGGTTTGTGTGTGTGTGTGTGTGTGTAGAGTGAGAGAGAGTCAGGTGTTGTTTGTTGCAGGCAAATCCAAAGGTTGTTTTTATCCTCCTCCATACCTGGATGACTATGGAGAAACTGACCAGGGACTGAAGTGAGTTTTTAACTCTTCTCTGTGATCGTCTGCGGCTCCTCGTCGTTGTTCTAGTGTCTGCAGTAAAACGATCCTTTTTCTCGACTGATTGTTGGTCTGTTGTTGTTGTTGTTACAGGCGTGGGAATCCTCTCCACCTGTGTCACGAGCGTTATCGAAAGATTGAGCGTCTGTGGCGACAGCACGGCGTGGCAGAGGTCATCGGTCACGCCCAAGAGGCCAATCAGACGCTGGTGACCATCGACTGGCAGCACCTGTGACCTTAAGCATGGTTTGACCTACTATTTGCCTAAATTCTTACATGAGAAGATGCTTGGTGATTGGCTGTCAGCATTTAGAGCCGCCTTTCACTTGCTGCCCCGTTTTACCCACTCACCTTCCCGCGGCCCTCCGAGTTTGTTTACAAATCACCAATCACAGAGCAGCAGTGACATGAAGCCCCGCCTACATAGCGCTTGACTGACAGATGATTAGTGAACATGACTCCTCTCAGGTTAAGCTTTTTATTAGCACCATGAGAAAAAAAAATGGCCTTGTTTAGGACGCTGCCGCCGACTTTTGATTGGTGAAAGGTGTTTTTATTTAAGTTTGTTTTTATTTGTTTCTGATGGAGTCAAGGAAACACATGTTGACGTCGGAGACTTGGTTTACTTTTTTTTTTTTTAAATCGATGGGTTGAAAAGAACATCGATGACCTCTGACCTGTTAATATGTGAATTCTTGTACAAATGAGGAAATGTATGATATTATAGAAGAATTACAAAATAAAAACACTCAAAAATAATTTTTATGTTTCGCTCAATACATTAGAATTACAAGAAAAATTGTGATGAAGTCAGCGGCCCAGGAGGAAAAAAACTAGTACAATGATACACAATGGAGGGGATGGTGTATTTACTACCTCCACAGGAAGTAGAAATAAAAAATTCCAGTTCAATACTCCTCTTTCACAGACCGAGGAAACTGCATTTTCGCAGCAGGTTGTGATAATATCCTGAACACCACAGCAGCTGCTGTTCCACTGCTGCCCCGTGTGGTTAGTTTATGTCACTCAGGTAAAATCTAAAAGTATTTCAAACATTGACATCACAAAGTGACAACAACTTGTACTGTGATGAAAAAAAAAATGTCCTTCTTGGAGTTTGGTTTTGAGATAGTGACTGTTCTGGTGAGGATTTTGAAGAAGGACACTGAAATATTATGCTTTCATGGTTGAGGAATAAATCTCTACAGTTGCAGTAACAAACCCCAAAGGTTATGAAGCATGCAGTGAGGTCAGAGGTAGGTGGGCCAGCGAGGAGGCAGCTTAGCTCAGCATGAAGGGCTTTATCAGTAAGTGGATCTTCTGATCTGCTCTTAATTGGATCATCAGCTTTAGGCTGACGTGGACAAGCTCTTTCCCACTCACACCCGAGCTCTGTCACAAGTCCGCTGTTGAACCTCGACGTGACAGTGGCCTTGTGGTTTGATGGGTAGCCCCCGGTGCCCCCCTGGTGGTACGAACTGATCATCATCATCAGTTCGTCGTTATGGGTCTAAAAGCGGGAGTCGTATCGCGGAGCGCCGTAACCATGAACCTGTGAGACTGCGGACAGACTCCCAGGACCGTCGCTGTCGTTCGCCAACCTGAGACTGTTTCTGACCTTACACTGTGTTGAATTTACCCGAACCAAGACGGCAGGATGCCGTTCATGCCAGTCAAGTTTAACCTGCAGAAGCGGGTGAAGTTGGCACAGGGGCTGTGGATGCTCTACTGGCTCTCAGTCGTCGTGGGAATCGTTATCTTCAGCCTCGGCATCTACTTCAAGGTGGAGTTGCGGAAACGGAGTGAGATGATGGACAACAACGAGAGCCACTTGGTGCCCAACCTGCTCATCCTGGTGGGCTTGTTGGCCTGCGGTGTCAATGGGTTCGGGGGCAAAGTGTGCCACGACTCCCTGGACCCCATGAAGTATGCCAAATGGAAGCCCATGCTGAGGCCGTACCTGCTGTCGTGCTGCGCCTTCAACGCGCTGCTGCTCCTCACGGCGTTGCTCTGCTTCCTCATGCAGTTCTCCGTCTACCTGACTCTGGCTGAAGGCTTGAAGAACAGCATCAAGTTCTACAAGGACACGGACACTCCGGGACGCTGCTTCATGAAGAGGACGTTGGACATGACTCAGATTGAGTTCCGCTGCTGCGGCAACAACAACTACAGAGACTGGTTCGAGGTTCAGTGGATCAGCAACCGATACTTGGACATGAGCAACAATGAGGTCAAAGAGTGAGTACTCCGAATTGTCGTTCTGCTTAATGGTCTGGGTTTGAGTCCTTCTTGTTTATTGAATTCCGTGATGAGTTCACATGAAAAAAAAAAAGATAAATAAAATTGTGGTCAAGTGCTTTCGGAAACCTTTACGATGTGTTTGTTTGAAGGTAAAATCATAGAACGCAGGAAGGACAAATGTAGATCAACTGGAAACCTCCTGATGTGATTGCTCACATTCGTGCCTCGGCTGTGAAGCCGTGAGTTTTTCTAAACGAAGCCGACGAAAGATAAACCCTGAGTTCAGGAGGAGAAGTTTTCGTGTAGGAGCGACTTCTTCCCGGAGGCCTTAATCTCTTAGGAAGTGCAGATTAAAACAGGATGAAGACCTGCCTCCATTAATGAGCTTATCAGAGTGGGGGTGGGGTGGGGGGAGATCAGCTGAGACACAGGAAGTAGAAATGTTTTTACCTGGTTCATTTCGTGGTAAGGTGTTAATGGGTTTAAGAGATATTTCACTCTCTCTCTCCCTCTCTCTCTCTCCCTCTCTTTCTCTCTTTGAGGTATTATTCCTCATCCAATTAGCAGCCCACCCCAGGAAGTCACCAGCCACACCTGCGACTGACCAAAAACACCTTTAGCCTGAAACAGACCACTATTTTTTGTAAACCTGAAGACCTTAATGATGAACCCGTATTATTGTCCTCGCTTATTTATCTAATCTCTCTCTCTCTCTCTCCTCCCTTCAGTCGCCTCCTCAGTAACATAGAAGGAAAATTCCTGATGGACAGCGTACCATTTAGCTGCTGTAACCCCGGCTCCCCTCGTCCCTGCATCCAACATCACCTGACCAATAACTCCGCCCACTACGACTACGATCACCGCATTGAAGAACTCAACATCTGGACCCGGGGCTGCAGAGAGGCACTCTTTTCCTACTACAGCAGTATTATGAGCAGTATGGGGGTGCTGCTCATCATCACTATCATCTTGGAGGTAAAAGTCCACCAACGAGCGTCTACAGCCAATCAGCACTCAGCCGAGGGTAGATGAAAGTCAACAGCTATTCATCATATTTTACCCATTTAATCACTTCAGTCAAGCTAAGCTAGTTAGCTTGAACAGCACAAAGAGTAAGGTAAGTTTAGTCAAGCTAGGCATATACACTGGAGAGTAAGTTAAAAACTTAGCTTAGCTTAGCATAAACCTAAATGAATCTGCCAATGACTCTAGAGAACAAAGGTATCAAAGGGCAACAAGGATTTGAATCTTCTAAATTTAAAACGACAGGGCGGCCTCTGCAGGAAATGAACCGACGCGACCTCAAATGCACCATGTTAACAACATAATTGATAAGTCAGCGATTAACCCTTTAATGTTGGAGCGCCTTATTGTGTAAAGTCAGTTGAGGTAATGAGGAGGCGTGTTATCACGTTTTAAAATTAAAAACGAAGCCAGCATTATTAGGGTTAACGTTAGCGCTGAAGCTAAAGAACTAATATTTAACCATCATCTGATCTCGTATGATCATGACTTATACAGAGGTTCATCACGTGCTGTGGATCAGGTACCAGGGTTATGGCGTGTTAAGCTGCTGAGCAGTGGTCAAGCTCAACGGGGATCAGGAACTATTTTGGTGTTAATCTGCCTGCAACAGCAAGGTGAATTCTGGGAAGGTCGGTACGTAAAAAGGCAGTTCAAAATCAGGGTGAAACAGGTTTGACCTGATGATTCTAAAACAACTGCCTGCCATTCAATCGATCCCAGAACCATCTATGCAAACGTACATAAAACATAACAATGTGAGCCTCCAAGATCCATGAGGATCATGTATCTAACCATGCGTTGTGTTTGTGTTTGTGTTTGAAGTCAGCGGACATGGCCGGGCTGAAGTACCTGAGCACTGCTCTGGAGACGATGGCCGACCCTGAAAACCCAGAGTGTGAGAGCGAGGGCTGGTTGTTGGAGAAAGGTGTGAAGGAAACTTTGGTGGAACAGTTTAGCAAATTGAAGACACTGGTAAAGAAACCCAGCCAGGTGCAGGAGGGGGGAGATGCACCGGAGGCCTGAGGGCAGCTGCCACCTTTCCCCCCACCCCACTTTGCCCCTCAATGAAAGAACTGAGGTCTCTCCTATCCCCTCAACCGCTGCCACCTCTGACCTGAAGACATGAGGCGGGAAAAGAGAGTTCTTCTCACACGATCCGTTTACAGGTACACACGTAAAAAACTCTGTGTTCACATGTTCTGTAAATGTAAAATAATGTATAAATATATGTGTGTGTGTGTAAAGAATAACACAAAACTGATGCTGTAGATAAAATAATTTCATTGTGGTTAAAAATACTCAAATGAAAAAAAAGTCTAAATAGGGCCACAGTTCTTGTAGTAAGAAGTGTAAACCAAAAAACAGCTGTAGTTGAAATAATGAATGGTGTATAAAGAACTTCTGATATATATATATATATATATATAGACTCAGACTAACATCATGGTCTGACAAGTTTATACAGATGTATATATTCATACTGTGGTATTTACAGATACCCACTACATCCATATACTGTACAGTATGTACACACCAAAGGCAAAACATTTGTTTATATTTTGTATGTATAAGTAAATAGGTATATGCAAGTATTATTGTCTGGTTTCTGTGTAATTCAATAATTTCCTACCATGCTGTATTTGGTTTCCTGTTTTGTTTTTTTGTTTTTTACTCTGATTTGCAGCCATTCAGCACACAAGCTGGGATTGTATGGATCTGATCAGTGTTAAGATGTTCTTAGTGTTTAAGTGTTTAGTTTAACAAATATTGTTTATTGTTTGGAATGTGTAGATTATTTACTTGTGTATCATAAGTCTATAAAGAAACAGTTTGACCCAAGTTGTCTCTTTTTTATTCACATATGCTCCATTGACTACATAACAATAAAACGCTCAATCAGTGTAGTTCTACACAAATCCACTGGGCGGCGGCAGAAATGTGATAATAAATCACGCGCTAAAAAAGCAGACAAACGTGGGCAATTGTTGTACAGCTTGCAGTTTATATCTACTTCTTCTTAAGTTACAATGTGCACACACTACCAGCAGAGGGCAGCGTTGCTCTCAACGACTAGGAGTTCAAGTCCTCGCGATAACACCCCACGCTAAGGGGGTTGTCTTTTGTTCACGTCATCGTGAGACTAGCTCACGGGTCGTGGAAAATCGCCGACAGATAAAACCTAATTTTATCCACCGTTAAGTTATTGTCTTTTTAAATTCTTTATGACATCTAAGTCCCGGATCCACGGAAGAGCCTCGCGGTGAGTCCAATAGCACCGAATAAATGCTGGTGGAGGTTTGGCTATTGTTAGCGCTGTTAGCATAGTGTGACCGCTGTGTGCTCTTTAGTGTTTAGGTGAAAGTGTGCCTGTGTGTGTCAGCTGTCTGCTTTGTTATCACGAATTATCGCATCGCGAATTCTGACATCACGGTAAAGGTCGGTTCAGTCTATTGACAAATAATTGACATTATTTTATTCTACGCGTGTTTTGTATTAAACAACCCAGATCACCTTAGAGAATATAATGTTTGAGGGACACGGACACATTACTCGTGTTTTCCAGACGCTGTTTCTTATGTAACCTTTTAAAGTCAATTTTTGTTTCCGCGACCTTATCGTCTCCTTTTTTCCTATATTTGTTGTCGCTCTGACATTGTAAACATCGGTGTACAGACATGGTTAAACGTCAATGTATAAGCAGGTGTTGTTTGTGTTGAAACAGCTGCACTTCATGTTTTGCAGGTTAAAGTCCTGTCCGTAGTTATCAGTGAATCGATCACTTATCGCAAACCCTTGAAACGTGGTGCTGCTGTAGCTCCGCCCACCGGTCTGTGTACGTGCCGGGTGATCGAGGGAAATGGCGGACAGGCGGAGCTTAGCTTCCGCTCTCACTTCCTCATTCTTTTATACTCCCGCGACCGAACTTAGTTTCATCGGTTCGCAGTCCACGGCTTAACAATCGAGCCTCGCCCGGACAGTTAGTTCCTAGTTAACGGTCTGGGAGTGCTTTGAGTGATACGGCATAACGAGGTATGATACAGCGGATCGCAATTTTTTCAGTGACTCACTCCGTAGGTCAGAATCAACTCAAACTTGTCTGCACCTGTGAATGTTAAAGGAGAAGCGGTTGTTAACGAACAGGGACGTTAAGGCCATAACTGTTAACTGTACACAGCGCGTGATATATATATATATATTTACAGCGTAACGGTTGCGTTTTTTCTTCTCTAATATTATTGTGCTACATCTTCTAAAAGCATCGAAAACATAGCAACATTTTTTCGTAACTCGACAATAGATGCTACAGGGTAGCTATAGTGAATGTTCAACTTTATTTGCATTGGACAGTGTGTTAAAAATAATTTTAATATATTTGTCACACAAGGCTTTGTAGTATCTCAAGTAAAAACAGAGTTTTGCTAGCATCAGACAAGAATTTGGAACAGGTGAAGTTATTAGGTCTTTTTAATTGTCTCGCACTACTTAAATAATGCACTCAAAACAAGTGTCAGTCCGAGACTCTGGGCAGAAATTGCACATCTGCCTTATAACAGTCAGCACAGACCTCACACAGCCAATTACAAGTGTATGTACATGTTAATGTTCTGGTTACTCTTTAAACTTGAAAATATGTGATTTGTTAAATGGAGTAGCTTGAAAAATTACTTACCAAAACTACCAGTTTAACATCTGTAAATTTAAAAAAACAAACAGACTATAGCTCATTGGCTAAATAATGTCATGCTTTAAGTCATTATTTGTTGACAGTTACTTCAGAGCAAATTCTTCCACCCCTTTTGCACCGTCAGTTTTCTAGTCCTGTGTTTGTTTTTATGTTTTTATTACGTCCGTCTTTTATGATTTTAAAATGTTATGGTCTGGTTTTATGGCCACCACGTGTCACTCTCTATTCTGTTGTAATTCTGAGGTCTTACGAAATGGTTTAGGCTAGCATGTTTGTTTCAGAGTTTTAGAATTATTGTCATGTTGCCAAATGTTGTAAATGCTTCGTTATTGAGAGAGCTAATATGTCTCGTAAAAATGATACTTTAGACGAACCTCCATGTCTTACGACAAAGTGACGAAACCGCTTCTTATCGCTGGCTGTTCACAGCTGATACAGAAATGCAGCTGTGCCAGCAGACTACACCCCAGTATCAACACACTTCTCAGTTTTCTCTTGAAATTGGTGGTACTTATTCTGCTGAGCCACCTCAAGACACTGCTACATGTTGACCTCAAACCACTAGCTGCTAAAAATAGTCTTTTGTTGTGAACAAGTTTGATCTCCGTGGATCAGGGTGACTGCAAAAATTCAGACTCGTCATCAAGTCCACAAGAACCACAACTAAAGAAGCATAATAATAGAAACATAAGGTTGGTCTCTGTAATACCTGGACCTTAGTCACAGTGGCATCATCAACCACGTCGCAATTTTAAATATATTTCTGTATGTTTTCATCAGAGCAAAGCCTGATATTTGACATGCTGGTCACTGTTTATCTATTTTTTTTGTTGTCATAATTGACAGACTTCCTCTTGTTTCCTATGCAGGATGCCATCAGCAGAGGCAGCGTGTGATGGGCTGAAGGTCTGTCAACAGGCCCAGGCTCAGCTTGAAGATGCCATAGTTGGTGTGGTGAAGGCTGAGCAGCAGCTAAAGGAGAACGCCCGTGAGGTGAGGACCACTTTGACAGTTATCATTATCTAAGTCTGTGCTCTGATGGAATCACACAGATCCATCTTTTATTTTCCATCACAAACCAAACATGAAACAGAACCTGAGCGTTCTGCTGACCAGAGGGCTGAGTCAGCAAATTAAAGGCAGACTCAGCCGTTTTACTTCCTGTAAACAATCTAATTTTGAAGCCGGGATCAGTTTTCAATACCGTGCTGTGCTGGGAGACATTAACCCGACAATGACTGACATTAGCCTTGGGAGGGATTCAGGATCAGGGTCTGTTAAACCTCCTTCATTGTGCTGGTTCATAGTCTGTGATCCTTTTATCCAGGATCAGTCATGATGCCAGTCTGACTCATTTTGTGTTAAGGTGAAGATGGGCATGTCAGCATAGAACAGACAGTCAGGAGAGAGAGAGAGAGAGAGGGAGAGAGAGCAGTGCGATGTACTGTCGGTTTATAAAGGAGTCGAGCAGAGACGGAGAAACAGATCTGATTCTTGGGGAAAGAGGAGACAGTAACTTTGGCTATCTGACCTTGGACTCTGGGCTTGGCTTGTCATCAAGAGGCAAATAACCTTATCAAACCTGGATGAGGGTTGGGTAAAAGGAGAGTTTTTTTTGTCCTTCCTGGAAGAAAGTTTTATTGGTTTTTGAGGACGGGTCAACAGTTTGTCCAGCAGAGTTTTTTCACAGTAAGTCACAGAAGATTGCTGATCTTTCTTTTCTGCCTTGACCCCTGAGAATCTTTAAAAATATATTTTTTTATTTCTGCCTTTCAGTGTGGTTTGACTGACACAGTCTTTCCCTGACTGTCAGGTGCGCTCAGAGTTGCAGAGCTGCGTGAGTCGTCAGCAGGAGGCACTGCGCTGCAGAGAGGTGTGGCTGCTCAGTCAGATTGAGCTGCTGGAACAAGTGAAGACAGAGACGCTGCAGCAGCAGTTGCACCAGCTGCACCGGGTAAAAAAACAAACATTCGTCTTTAGGGGGAACTTCACTGAGTTTATGTAAAAAATATTTGTCTAATGTGAATGGTCTGACTTGCTGTGGTGAAACACACTGTCACTGTGTGAACAGTAGAAAATGATTAATTTGAGTTGTTTGCTTTTGTTTCAGCTGCAAGGTCAGTTTGACATCATTGCATATCAGCTGCAGAACAACAACAAGAGCAACGACCTGAGCAATCAGCTGACCAGCTGCATGGAGAAGTAATTACACACACACGCACACACTCTCCTCTGTTTGAGGTCAGTCTTTGACCGAAGGGTGCAGGACAGTGAGGATAATATGAATTGAGTTTTTCTTTTTTTTTTTCTTTGGTAGATTGTCCTCCATGAGTCTGACTCCTGAGGAAACACCAGAGATGAGTTTTCAGGCTGACAGTCGCTCTCTGAGGAACGCCATCACCTCGTTTGGTAGCGTCACTGCACAGGTAACGACTCTGATACAAACAATGACTTGTGTGCCCTAAGGGATTTGTTGTTTTAAAATCCAATCCAATGGTTTGTATAAGAACTTGTCTAATTACGCTGACTATTTGTTTTTGGTCTTAGCAACTTGTGGAAGGTGTGCTGTCACAGAGCCAGGCAGCACAGAGGTGTCCAGTCGCTGTCAAAAAGCAGGTAACTCCTCTTACAAGGCTGGAGTGAAAGTCTTTGTTTTAGTGAGCATCAGCATGAAGTGTCTACTCATATGTGACAGACCCCTAATAACCAGGTGTAAAGTGGAAGATTTTAACTTGGATGTAGAAAATGTACTACCTACAAATGTCAAGTACAATTTGATGTTTGCAACTAACAAAAAGGCAAATTTAGAAACTACATGTAGTAACAGTGACACTAACAATGACGACACCATCCAACGGTTTCACTTAATCGTTTTTGTAAATAACAGCTTAGAAACACTGTAGTACCAGGGCCTGCTCTTATTTATGTACACATTTGTTTTTCATATTGTCATCAGAAATTAGAGGATGATGATCTGGGGCAGTGGCTTTTGGGTAGTTGCCCAAAAAACAGTGGCCCAGTGTGCTATCAGTCCAGTAAGAACCCTCAGGATTGGCTGCTGTCATGTAAGGACACCAAGGTGAGTGAAAGCTACTGTTGTTGCTGCTATTTATTTAGCTGGAAATTATGATAATTTGTCCAAAGTTGACTTGGTGTCTGTTCTCATTCACATGAAGTCCTGACTTCCTGTTTCTCATTGTAGGCTTCATGTCCTGTTCTGGCTTCGGTGGATTTCCTGCAGACCTGGGGTCAGCTCAGGGACCTGGAATCGTGGCTTCTTAAGGACAAGATGCCTGTGTGCAGGGAGAGGACCAGCAGCAGCTGTAGTTCTGTCTTTTCAATTGAAAAAATTGATGAATCAGAGTTCACCGACAGCTACGAAGAAGAGATGGATGAGGAGCTCGATGATTGGCTCATCCCCTCGCCCACCGAGACCGTTGACACCGTGACTGATGCTGAGCGGTGGCGTCAAGTGTTAAAACCATTCAGCAATGGCTGGTCATCCAGTGATTGGCTGCTGGAGCCCACCTGCCCTCCTGCAGCTACTGCTGCTGCTGACTGCTCCTCCTGCTGCCAGACAAAAACCAAGGCTGTGGAGATTGAGAACCTGGGTCAGCTGAAGTGCCTGAAGACCCCGCCCAGTTCAACCCCCACTACCCCTGCTACACCTATGGCCACCACAGCCCTGGAGACATGGCTGCAGCAGGCAGTGCCATTGCAGCAGACTTGCAGAGCCAACGAGCTTTGTTCCACATATGCAGAATGTCTCTGTGAGGAGAACTGTGGCAAAGAGGCGCTGAGCCGCTGGCTCCCTCCGCAGGAGGGCCCGGACAAACATGGGCGACATTTGTCAAATATACTACACCCACTGCCAGTAGCACCCCAGCGGTCATAAAAACAGCCCCGCTGACCCTGCACCACAGGGAACAGGAGCAGAAGGTGAAAAAACTGCCCAAAATGTAACATTGTGTGAGTGGTGGAGAAACAGTATGCACCAGTTTGAATAACTGAAAACCATGATCCTGCCTTAGGTCCAGAACATTCTTCAGACTTGGCTCCAGCCCTCCAAGAGCTCCTCTTCTCCTCAGGCCCTAACCTCGGCTCTTCCAATCTTGGTGGCCACCAGTGAGGAGAAGGTGAGCAGGGAGAACCTCACCTCCACTTCTTCCTCACCGTTTCAGCATGCTCTGGATCCAGATCGCTGGATCCAAGGTCTTGCTCCGGGATCAGTAAGTCAACCTCGACCCTCTGAGGAGCAGCACCAGGGGAAGAAGGAGGAGGAGGACAAGTGGTTGCTGAAGAAGCGTAGTCAGGCTCAGGTAAGACTGTTATAGATACTCAAGAAGAGTCAAGGTGGACCCTGACCCCAGTGCATTATGGGACATTCAAGACTATTTCTTTGTTTTTTAGGAGCGTCTTGCTTTACCGATGGTCTGTGACCTGTTCTCCTGCATGAAAGTGGGCGGAGACAAAGACCAGTGGTTGCACAAAGCAGCAATGCAGGTGATTGTCATGTTGAACTTTTAACATTGTCATTTTTTGATGTGAGATCATGACAGCGTGATATAATCTCTCATTTCTTTCTTTTTTTTCCTAGATGTGATGGTGAAGTTTTTGTTTTCTTCTGTCTCTATTGCCATACAAAGCACACGATCCTGATCGACTGACAACACCTTTTACTTCCTGTGACATTATCCCACCAAACTGCCTCCACTCAAATCCGCAACGGACTGAGAGGATGACAAGAAAACCTTTGGCTTAACCAGACAGTTTGATCAGCTAATAGTTATCAGTCAGATTATCAGGAGCTGGTTTTATTGTGCTTTAACCACCTTATTGATTAATTATTAATCAATTATTAATGACTATAGCTTTTGAGTTTGTTTAAATGATCAGCTAATGTTGAGATGGAAGGGGCTAGAGTTGTGAATGGTGGAGAGTCGTATATATTTATAAAGACCATTTATAATGATTTTAGTTCCTTTTACTTGCTGCCATGGCAGGGTTTTATGTAAATTCCCAGAATTCCTTGTGACAAACAGGATAACGTCATCAGCAGTGTTGGTGCGTTTTCATTAAGTCTATGTGTGGTTTGGGAATGTAAGGGAGGGGCCAGGGTCAGGATGTCACTTTTTTTCCTGCTGTGATTCTCAACAGTAATAAACTATTATGACATCACTGCTGTGTCTGACATCAATTAAATCACCTGACCTAATTACCAGTATAGTTTATTTCCAGGGAACTGACAACAGCCCGTTTATCAAAAAAAAAACAAAAAATAGAACACCATGTTTTTTTTTACACTGAAGTACAGTGCCCACTGCAGCTCATTTAGGCTTACTGCAGTTGACAAATTGCATTTAATAACACTCGTTAGCGTATTCATCCTATCGATTATGGAGATGATTAAAATTGTCAGTAATTCATTTTCCGTTTTTTTTTTTTTTTTTTTTTTGCGTTTGTTTTTTTGTTGTGGAAACGGCGTGATTTGAATAATTACATGAATGAAGCGACGTGATTTGAATAATTACATGAATGAAGAGGAGGGCTTGAGAATGGCAGTGACGTCACTGACAGAAAGAACCCGGAAATGAAGTTTTCACGACACATCACGGCTTGTGCAGACATTTTACGTTCGGCAGCAGTGGACTGAGCAGTCTGCGCTCGACCTCGGCCAATCACAGAACCGAGAGGTTCCGCGCGTTGCTGATCTGCCGCATTTGTGCCGCGGCAGCTCGGCTACAATACTGTTTTGCCGCTCTACCGCAGCTGCGGTCCGTTTCTGACGATTGTAACCAGGGCTGGTGACAGACCAGGAACCGTAGTAGAACCTGGTCCAGGACAAAGCCAGTCTCAGTCGTAAGTGTGTGTATTCAACATATATATTAACCTTTTTGTGTCTCTAAATGGCGTGTGCGCGCGTGTGTGTCGATTGAATAGACAAACCGGCGTTCATCGCCTCGGTGCTTCCTAAACTATGGCCCGCGGCCCGCTAATGTGGCTCGTCCAGGTGGTCCTCTCACTAATTTTAATGATACAGTCATTGAGTTATCGATACAACGTTCATCTTTTATTCAGTTATATTTGCACTAGCAGTTAATGTGTGTACTTGGTGTGTACTTGTTCTAAGCTGTACTTTTAGGCAGTGTCAGGGAGTTGGCAATATGTTACATCCAGTTAGGCTAGGAAGTCAGAATGTGGTCACAAGAAGAAAAGAGAAATAAATAGATTAGATTAAATTAAACCGTATTGCTTCCACATTGGAGAGATTGTTGTATTGCAGCAACAAGTGACAAATATGATGACTATACAATGAAAACAGAATCTTAATACAAGAAGTAATAAAACAAATAGTTCAACTGGGCAAAAACTGAAGAACTGAATATTTAACAAAAGTGGAAATCAAAGGCACATGAAGAAACAGTCCCTTGTGATGTAATAACATAACTGAATAATGCATTTGTAAGCTAATAAAATAAAAATAGAGACATTGTAAAGAAGCAGAGAGAAAGGTCTACAAATATCCAGTGTTAAGTGTATTTTTAACTGATTCAGCAGAAAACTAATATATACATATAAAAGTAAGTTTCAGTGCTATTTAAAGCAAACTAATCATTTACCACAGGATTTTGTGTACAACCATAACTCACTGCAAACCAACCAATTAAGACCTTATGTGAATATTGGTTTGGTTGGATTGGTTTGACGTGTTCAGATAAGAGGATTACTATTTTTTTGGTTTGTATCATCATAAAAGAAACTGGACTTTTTGTGGTAGTTGGACTAGTGTAAACCAAGTGACTACAATAATACATTTACTAAGAACCACTATTCTGTTTAGTTTATCTTTTTTTTT